TTTCAGCATATTTTAATTTACTTTTGCAGCTGGGTGTCTATTACGGGCAACAAGACTAGTAGTTTTATCAACAGTATCTATTTAAAATCAAAGAATCTACTCCGAACTCTTGTAATGAATAGATAATACCAGCTTAAACTTTAACTGATGATTGTACGAAAGCAGCCGGAACAGATTTTATCGATGTTGTTAGATTGATACGATTATTCTCAATAGTATTTGTTGTAAATTCGACAGACAGCATAGTGGTATCTTTGATAAACTACTCAAAATGTAAATTAACTAAGATATTCAAAGCGCGGACAAAGAAAAGCGAAAGAAATGACTGGATCATTTTGTTGGTTAACAAAAAGAAACTAATTGAAGTCATTGGATAATAGATGTCGTTACTAGTTGTCGAAATTTGTAAAATGTTGATCTAGTAATGTGTAGATATTATCAATAATAATTAATGATTAGTGACAATTTAAGAAAAAGAACATAAGTTCGATTTAAATGATACATAAAATATTTAATACAATTGAATTTGAATAATCCAGTGATTTGTTCTAGTTCGGTTTGTGCTCATAGTTTGACATTTGTAGTGATGAACTATTCATATTTCAGACAAGTATGTTCATTATTACATTAGCTTAAATGGTTTATATTCAGAAATGGCAATTTGATAAGAAAAGAGTGGAGTCTATACAGTTGCTCGTCAACAAATTAGTATTCATTTAGCATAGAAAAATTGATTACTTGAATGTCAATATTGGTTACGTGAAATTTTTTCAAAAATGTTAGATTTCATGCTATGTAATACAACATCGATCACTGTTTTCTTTTGTTGAAAACAATCAGTTGTTAGCATAATCATTGTAGAAAACTTTTGAATTATAACTTCGTACGAAAATATTTTCTTTATCGAGTGAAAATTTTGCGTCCATAGATCAATTTTAAAAAGAGATTAGCTTCATTCATAATTATTGTTTACTCCGTTTGAATGGAATGATGGAGAATACTCATAGAAAATAGCTTTCGATGTCTAGTATAGTTCTATTTTGACAATTCAAAATCTTTATATTGATTTTGAAAACAAAATCCTAGAAATAAACTGATTATCGATAACAGATTTCTCATCACAAGTACAAAAGAGAGAATTATTTTTCCACTATCATCCTTTGTTTTGTCGAATGAACAGGAAATTAAATTGTTTCTTTATGGTCAAGTCAATAGGTTCTTGGCGAAATTAGTTTCACGAACAAATTCACTCAGTCAACAATACTAGATATGCTTCATTAATGTTTATTCTCTAAAAAGAATCAAACTATTTTTTAGTAGGGTAACCAAGGATGGGTTAGGCCAGATGGAGCTCTATCACCTACCCTTTCCTGGTTACATCACTATTGTATTTTTTTCAGATTAGAAGTCTCAATTGAGATAGATTCATTATTTATTCAAAAAAAAATTCAATTAGATTTGATTTTTTTCCTATAAGCAAACAAAGGTACACATTCATTTTTGATTAAAAAAAAGATTTCGGAAATACACACTTCATTCGAAAGCATATGTAAAAAGAACATAAGAAAGAATCATTTTTGACAAATGGCAAACAATACGAAAGGATAATTAAATTCTTTTTGTTACGATGAATAACACAAAAGAAAACGACCATTGTTTTATATATGCATCTTATTTTATATTAAAAATTTATATTATGTCAATAGAATTCTATTCGATACTCTTGAAGATTTTCATTTCTTTTCATAAATCAATAAGGGGATACCCTCCATTTCTAGAGAACGGCTCATCAGAAAGTTTTGAAATTTCTCAGAACAGGTAGATCTTGATGAGTCGAGCAAAAGTCGTCATAGACTAAAAATTTCTGAATACTGTGTTTTCTGAGATATATTGAGATAACAATGATCCCAATTTTCGCTGCCCGTTTCCTCGAGATGCTATGTTCGATCGAGCTGAACATTTTTTTTTACAGGTACCAGAGACACTGTTTTGCATGAGTTTTTAACTTTTTTTCTAAGAGCTACCAAAAATTAGCAGAACAACCCAGGACGAGCAATCCGACAGTTGGATTCCGTCGGATCTTGCGAGGAAAATTATCGGATTTTATCGGATCCGACAGGAATTCATCGGAAGCCGTTGGAATCCTTGGTACAGAATTCCGACAGGAAGATGTCGGAAGGGACCCAAATCCTGTCAGAACCCTGAAAATCCGACACTTTCCAACGTCCGATAACTTCCTGTCGGAATCCTGTACCAAGGATTCCGACAACTTCCGACGAATTCCCATCGGATCCAATGGGATGAGTTCGATCTGGGAATATTTTTTGAAACAAAAAACTACTCATCCTAAACAATGTACAGTATTTCAGCTTGATCGGACGTACTAAGCTAGAGAAACGAGGATATTTCTGCACTTTTATTCATGAATAAATCATCGACTTTAGAAGAACACGATTTGCTATTTTCGTTACATAAATTTAATTTCTTCTCGAATTTTTTAAAAAGACAATTTTTGAATTTCGAAACGTACTAAGTAGATAGGTACTAGTTCAGACTATACAATGGACACAAAAAACAAAATAAAAATTTTGGATCACGAAAGGGGGCGCGAATTACACTTAAATGTTTCTCGCATAGCATTTATTGAATACAAACCGAATCACGAACGGGCATTATTATATCCCCTTGTGAACAGAAAGAAAATGCCTAAGAAATATTGTTGACAATAGATGAAAGACCGATAATAAAGCATATTTCATCTCTAGACAATAGCTTTTCTTCTTCTAAATAGATTATATAAAAACCAATAGAAAGCAACATTAGCTCTCATTATATTAACTTTATTTTAGTAAGATAAAAATTCTTTTATATTTTATACATCAAATGCATTATTGATATAAATGGTTCAAAGAGTTTTTTAGACAACCAACCTTATCTCACAAAATAAATGTGTTATAAACTTATGAACTAATGCAAGTTTTTTTTGTGTCATTAGAACGATGATGTTTTCGGTACATGTTTGTAAAAAAGAAGAAGAAGAAGAAGAAGCAGATGAAAAAGAGAGAAAAGACGGAAAGAAAAAAAAAGCTTCTTTGACAGCCTTGGGAAATGGAATGAAAACAAAGGACATAACAAGAATAGGGAGAAGGAAATAGATTCCGATAAAAAGTAGTCTAACGTTTAACTCATAGTGAATAAACAATGATCGAACGAATAAAAGTAGTTGACGAGACTGCTACCTATTCATTATGGAAAGTATTATTTGTATTCTTATTAAAATTTGAATTGATAATGAGTACTCGAAATCGATATACTTCAAATATTACAAGCAATCATTCATGTTATACTTGTACAGAACGAGTTGTTGGTTATAGTAAGTTTTTTATAATTATAATATAATTTCATATTTAGGATAAAATATTAAATCTTTCGTCTTAATATTCAATATTTGGTAATTATCTTCTTATTTTCTAGCTGAGCATCCAGGTTCATGTAAATATCTTAATATAAGTTCTCCAGTAGCATCAACTTATATAAAAGAATGTAGTATTAGTGGTAATGATAATATTAATGAATATGAATGTCGAAAATTAGTCATTAGTTATCGTTCTGTTGAAACATTTTTACGTCGTGATTGTGTACCAAAAGGTTTATGTTCATGGAAAGATAAAACTCAATCAATGATAAATACACCAGTGTATGATTGTGTTTATACTGATGAACAAACACAAAAACTTGAATGTATTTATTGTTGTGATACATCATTATGTAATCGAACAATTTTACATCGTATGACAAATCAATTTATTATTTGTTTATTATTCCTTAGTTATAGAAACTTGATTTTATTCTAAATTTATTTAAAAAAAAAATATTTTTAAAGTTATAAAATTCAAAAATTCAGTATTAAATGTTAATCATAACTTAGATACATTTTGAAATGATTTAATGAGTATATGCGTAACATGAAAAAGAACGATAGGTATTTAAAAGTAGTTTGCTTGTTCTTGTCTTGGCTTCGGAAAAGAAACTATAAAAAGGTACAAATACTGTGAAACCTTTTTTTTTTTACAACAAATGAATTATATCCTTTCGTATGATGTTTGAAAAATTATGATAAAAAAAAGATTAAAGAGAAAAAAACACTTGATAATGTAGAGCTTTGTATTATATACTGAAAATTCATTATTTTAGAACTAACTTTGAATATAATGGTTTTTTGTCATGTAGATTCACATTGAGTAGTTTGTGTTGTAATTAAAGATCAGTATAAAGAATGACTTTTTCCCTTCGACAATGACTTTAGATGTAAAAGTCACATCTCATTCTAGAGAGAAAATATTATTTAATTAAGGATATTGAAGTTAATATTAAATTATGTTAGCATCAACGTACATGACGAAAGTAAAGATAACTTAGATCGTAGATAGAACTCTATCAACAAACCCCGTTCAAACATTAATGAAAATCTATGAGGATCAATCCAAAGATAATAAACGTACATTGGAATCATTTTTGATAAAGAACTAGTATCACACTCGGTTGAAACTAGGGTTATATAACATCACTTCGATATATATATGATCGTCTATAAATACCGATTAATTAAAAAACCTTTCTAAAAAAGAAAGTGACACTCAAGCTATTTGACTTGGTTGTGATCGGCGGTAGATTAGACTCTAGAGAAATTTGTGCAATTTATATTTTCACAACGATACGATAAAGGACGGTTATTATTTTACTGCAAATACAATTTATGGAGCTCTACAAGACAAGAAAGATTTTTATTAATATTTGAACTGTATTTGTGGCTAAAGATCTATCTACTCATATCAATTGCTCTAACTTATCTTTACTTTCGAGGTGTTCACATTATACGAAGCGCAGCATATATAATTCTAATGAGATACTTTTGACTGATATTTATAATCATTTGTACGAAATGGTGTCGTATTTTCTTTCAAGAAAATTAAAAGATGTTAGGAATTGATTTGATATACTAATTTTTCTCGTATTGTATGAACTAAAATATTGAAAAATTTATTAATTATTCTACCATGTATAAGACATAGTATTTTCTTTTCTTATAAAATTTAAAAAACATTGAAATAACTCATTCTTTGTCTCAAGCTACTCTATTGAAAGAAATACAATGCACCTCAATTATATGACAAAGTTGTGTCCGATAAAATATTTCTTAAACTATAATAAATTAACATATGAAAAAAGAAAATCATCCAGAAATCCTTCAAAATATTTTATCGACAATGAAATACATGCACTGGTAACTCTACGTTCCTTATATAAACTAAAAAGTATAATATGAACTAATGGACTTGAATTTAGCTAAAGTCAACTTAAGTTCACTCTTCACACGACCTGAATGACATCAGTTATTTTAAGAAATTTTCAGCTATCTTGATATTAATTATCACAAAATGCAAATTCCATAACAATTTATCTGTTTGACGGACTCACTATTAACAAAGAGAATGTCAGATTGAAGATTCGAAAAAATGAGTAATATCAAAAAAAAGCTTTAGCTGCCATGCTAGACTCTGCAGCGAGAAAAAATTTCCTTCAAATCAAAACTTTGTTTTGATCCGATACCTCGTGTCAATTTCTAGTATTAATGAATATATGATATTGTTTTTTATTACTGTGGAAATCGACAAAAATCATAGGCTGATACTTTTGTCATCGATCGATTTGTGTAAACTTGTGCGTCATCAAGTTCTATTCAAAATTGAAAGTATTTAGCTTCAATCAATAGAAAATTTTATGCTGTACACTTCTGACATCATCACGAGATTCACGTTAATGTTGCTAAGAATTAACATCTAGCAATGTTCTTTTAGATATACTCTCGAAAATATTGTTTTCAAAACTTCGACGTACAATATAAATAATTTATTAGTATGCTGTTCTATGCGGAATTTACATTTGAAGAAAATGATGTTAATTTTAAACTGAATAAAGAAAATATTTACTTTCTTAGAAATTAAAAACAAACATTATGAGAAGTTTGTCAGAAAAGAATGTTTTCTAGGGTTGTCGAGTAATTATTGAGAAAATTTTTCTGCAAATATTTTTCAAAAACTTGTTAACATACATCAACAGTTGGAGAATTTATAGAGAATTTTATAATATATTCTAAACTTTTGTAAAGCTTTTATGTCGAAAATAGTTCATTGATTCAGATTTTTAAGCCGTTGTAATTGATCAATTGAGTTACAATTCATTTTTTCATTGACAAGAAAAGTTCATCTGAAAAACAAAGTCAGAAATTTTACACAATGGAAAATTCTCTGTCAGATACGGATTGAATGGAACCTTTGAAATGTTCTTCTGATATAAAACTAAAAGTGTCGTATTCTTTATAGACCATTTGTTTACATTAGATAATCCTGTAGTTTTAAGATATAGGTTCTCCTTAGAAAAAAACAAACAAACGGCATTGGTGGGTTTCGGAATAATGGGCACTGTCAGAGATTACTATAAATCAACGGAAGTGAAAAATGTCGTAGAAATCGGAAATTAATTCACTCCTCTTCAATGTTATCTGACACGTTCATCATAAGAATTAAGAGCAATTGTGATGCATAGACGTTCTTGAAATACAAACTTTCATTGCAAAATTTCTGCACGAGAAATTTCGGGAATTTAACTTTAGTCTCTAGTGATAAAAGAACAGTCAATGCAAAAAGCTATAATAATTATTTTTATATTGAGATATTTATTGACAACATAAAATTCTAAAGTTCAATCTTCTTTCAACGTAGAATAAAATATGATAGACAAAAAGATAATCAATCATAGTAAGAAAGAAAAATTATACATCAGACATAGACGGAACTGCCTTAGGCTCTCACACGCACGTATGCAGCGTTGTGCAAATAATCCTCATAGAGCGTATGTTACGCCAACCCATAATTCTGTTCGTGCTAAAAGAACACCAAAGAAATGATTTCTTGTTTTCGAAACGTGTTTACCGAGTAAGAAAAGAAATAGACATGCGAAGCGTGTAAGTTTTAGCAAGAACGCGTGACAATCTTGTCTACCTTTGGTATACATGTAATTTATTGAAGACAAATGTCGTACAAAAAATTCAATTGATCTTAATAATATCAAAAAACTTTTATTAAATTAAAAATATAAATTAGAAAGAAATTCTCGACATTAATTCATTATGTACGAGAATATCATAAAATATAATTCTTTATCGATGATATAACTATTTAGAAATAATAAATAAAAAGTAGAAAGAGTAAAATTTGCAGTTTCTATTTATTTTCTTGCTATTCTCTTTATAATACATACAAAAGATCAACCTTGAAGATAGTGTCAATCTTAAATTTTTTTAAACGTTATTTATTTTTGTCTATCGTAATAATTATCAGTCTACATCTAATTGTAAAGGTGAATAGATAAACCATTTTAAATAAGTTATTTGCTACGCATTGAAAAAAAACATTGAAAATTACTTTTAAAGCTCTTCTTCAATTGATACGAAAAAAATGCTTTTTATAATCCAAATTATATTGACTCAAATGATATGTTCACAAAATTAAATATTTCATACTTAATAATAAGTTAATTTACAATGAATGCAACTATTTTATCTAATTATATTAAATAATCGAATGACTGAAGAATATGTAAGTAATATGTCATATACAGAATGTTTTAACCAATATATTTCATTATTATTATAGTTATTCTTATTTCTATTTACCATGATTTAATTATGATTACTTTCCTTGAAATGGTTGAATTTATATTTTGTTTACACCTAAAGAAAACATGAGTATCCACACAATAAAAGTCAAATCTATATTCAAACAGTTACTTCATATGCCATCTAGGCATGTTGTCAAATATGCAACCACTAATAAAATACAGCCAACATCCACACTTCATAAAATATTATTAGTTGGTTTCCTGTACTGCGCAAATTCACAGACCTGAGATATGCTGATCTATTGCATATCAGATATAGGACCATTTTTAGATCCGTATTATTTTGTAGTCTAGGTAGTCAACAGAGAAGATTTTAAGACTTTTTATCACAAGTCGTGAATGGTGTAGGTGTTGGTTGTATTTTTGGATAATCGTAGATGATCAGCATATTTACCAAAATGTCTAAATCGCCATATAATCTCATATGAAGTAATTGTTTGAATATAGATTTGACTTTTGTTAGTTGATCTTGGTTATCCATGCTTTCTTTAGATGTTCGTGTGACTTACAAGAGCCCACTATAATATCAATATGACTAGTAAGTGTTTATATTTTTCTCATCAATTGTGAGCATCTATTAATAAGTCGATATCATCAACGTCGAAGTGATTTAAGTAAATCATCATTCAATGAAACAATTTGATGAATAGTATGTTTGACAGATGGTTATTCTTTTTGTTCGAACATTAATACAAAAATAAAAGCTTATTTAATATTTGTAGATCATTATTAAACTTTTATAATATATTGATCCATACTTTCACTAGTCTCTTATAGATAACAAATAAAGGGTATCAACAATCATGGTAATCTAATACAAATACACACAAAACAAAAAAAAACAGGGGAAAACATTGCACTGTTCAAAAGAAATTATAGAGACAAAATACGATAAACCAAATATAGAGCTATTCTATGCTCATACCACCTGAGAAATAAGCAAAGAAAAATATATCACAAAAAACAAAGAAAAAGAAAAACAAGTAGAAGTTCATGGTAATCATTTATGTACAGGTGTTTTTTTATTATATGGATTTTCTTTTTTATCGCCATCGTCACCAATATGTAACATAGTACGATCATCATTTTCAATATGACTTGAATGAAAATCTTTTAAACGCTCTTTCATGGGTGTTATATAACCACGAGTACTACGAATATTTTCTTGAATTTCATCTTCATCATCACCACTATCAATATCCCATAAACGTTGTGATAATGAACGAGTATCCATATAAAATCGACGATTTATATATGGATAACCATGAGATGATGATAATATTGATTGTCCTAAATTATCACCTGAATACGATGATATTGATCGATAAGGATCAATACAGAAATCGTCTGGTTGTATACCTGACGAATAATATAATGCAGTTATTGGTGATGTTGTCGGAGGAGGAAATATATGATGATATGGATGTCGAATATATTGACGATCATTATTTGAATAAATACGACGTGTTATTGGTACAGATGATGATGATTTAAGAAGTACACGCATTTTAACAGGTGTTGATGTTTGAGAACGTTGTGAACTACATAAAATTGGTATAAGTGTTTCATCATAATGCGGAGGAGTACGTGATGAGTAATATATTGAAGATGCGGATGGTTGAATCTTTGAATTTGGTTGATAGTGATGTTCTCTTCTTACAATTGGATTTATCGAATCACAAGTTTTATTGCTTGGTGTTGACTGAAAAAAAAACCAAAGAAATTTTAAGATTTTATATCAATAAAATAAATAAATAAATAAATATACTTGACGTTGTAATGATACTAAAGATGATTTTAGTTGTTCTTGTTCTTTTTGATTTATTCTATGATTTACTGGTGTATTTATTTCATTTTCATTTATAATTGATTGATCATAATTATTTGTTATTTTTACTGTATTAGAATGTTTATCATAAATTAATTTATTGATTTTTTCAGTTGATATTGCTTTATCTTTATTTATAACTTTAAATGGTCCTTTAGGTGTTTTTGTAATTGGTAAAAATGTTCCACTCGTAGCTAATTCATAAGATAATTCACTTCCATTTGATAATTTTTGTTGTTTATTTTGATTAAATTGATCTGTAAATTGTTCATCACTAAGTAAATCATTATCTTTTATATCTTCTATGTATGTTAATTTATTGCTAAATACAATTGTTTGTGGTATATCAATATCATTCATGGAAGTTTTCGAATAAAAATAAACTTGTGGAATAAGAATAAATAATAAACATATTGTTCCTATTGTAAACATACCAATAACAAGTGATGGAAATACAAAATATGGATGAGTAAAATAATAAATAAATGTCCATATTAACCATGTTATATCAATTAAAATAAATGCAAACATATTAAAAAATCTTAAAAATTTATTATGATTATTATTTATTGGTATTAACTGATCTTCTTCATTTTGATCTTGATGACAATGACGACATACAAATAAACATATTGATATTATTGTACATAGAAATAATTCTAATATGGTATATGTATATGTTGCATAAAATCGATAATCAACAATACATTGAAATGAACATGGTTGTATTGATGATATTTGTTTTGAAAAATGAAATTTAAATTTTGTATATTCATCTATTGGTTGTTGTTGACATATACGTGGAATAGTAAAATACCACCAAAGTATACCAATTGGTATTTGTATAAATATAAGTAAGAAATAAATTAATAAAGATGTTAATTGTTTTGTACGTTTTGATAAAATTCTTGTTGATAACCATTTCATAATATAACGACATAATAATGCTGAATAAATGAAAACATATGCAAATTGTGATAAAAATTCTCTTAAACCACAAAATAATTCATTACCACGTATTAAAAAAATGATAACAATTATATAAATAAAACATATACTTAAACAAAGAAGTAAATTTACTAAATTTAAATGATGCATTGATAAATATAAATATAAAAATGATATAATTATTGTTAATAAAATACCAATTAATGAAAGTATAAATAATGAAAATATCCATTGATGATTAAATTGTAATAATGATAATGTTTGATTATCTATTGCATGAATATTATTATCAAGTAAATTTGGTGAAAAATAAAAAAAATCTGTTGATATTGTTGGAATATCAGATGATGATATATTCATATTTATTTCATTCATTGATCTAAATAAATAATTTAATTAAATGAGGAAAAATAAATACTTGACTATTCTCTTTTCATACCAAAAAAAACACAAAGAAAATATTACAATATTCATTTAGGATTGTTGTCATCTTTCTCTTGTGTTATAAAGTTCGACTAGTCTAATGGCAATACATAGAAAAATGACTATAAAGACAATAACAAGATGTCTCTTTATTCGAGCTTCGAAGGTCTTCTACTCATGTTTATATATATATATATATATATATATGTGTATATGCGTTATTCAACGACATTATCGTCAGTGTTACTGTCATCGTCAAATGGAACTAAAAGAATCGATAACAGTTTATGTAAATATATATGTTTACTTATTGTTATTGCATACTTATATTTGTCTTTTTTTGTGTCCATTCAATAGGTTTAAATGAGAAAAAAGAATACACTGACCTGACTTAAAAACTTAGAGATCAAAAAATCTTTACTTTTTTACTTTTTGATAAATATATATTGAAATCATCTAAATGAAAGTTGAGATTGTGTTTGATATAGTTCATTTTGTTAAGGTGTAATCTTTTACTACGTCATTTTTTTCGTATGAAATCAACTTTTTTTTTTCTTCTCGTTATTTCGCACATGATTCAAGGTAGGTTTCATTAAACCAATTACTATTACTTCATGTGAATATATGTATATTTAGTAGCGTCTATTAGACATATCATGATTTATTTGACAATATGTTACATGCATAAATATATATACTTATTGAAAAAATATACTCTCTTAACACAGTGATATGATGAGAAAAATGAGTCAATCTTGTCGACTTTTATTTGTGTGGGAATATAATCAAGGTGATATGTTGATGCACATTAACATATAAACTGTATATTAGACGATAAGTGTCACAATAGGAGACCTTTTTGTTTTAACATAATTGGTTTTTTGTTTGTCCTTGCGAGATAGATGATGTATAGGCATTTAAAATTAATGCAAAATCGAGTCAAATGAGATAGTGTGGATAAATATATAGATAATATTGGTCAAGTGATCTAACTCAACAGAATTAACAAAAAGAAAAAAAAAAGAAAAAAGAACAACAGATTCTTATTTATATTGCAAGTCAAACATATTATTACGTAAAGTCAACAAGTTTTTTTTTCGCCTATTTAACATTCCTAAATATATATATATATGTATAATGTCTGAGATTAATCTTATTTGAATATATATTTTTTTTCAACTTGACTTACCTATATCTTTTCAATACATACACTTTCGATAACTTAAACAAGCCTCATTTGTTTCTTGTCTCGATAATAAAAATATGACAAATCTAAAAGATGACTTACTTACTAACGACACATCGTTCTTATGATTATAAATGTATTGATCTTCTTTCGTTCGTCCATATACATGCACACCATTAGCATAATCTTATTTTAAAATAGATAGAATATGCACATATATATATATATATATATATATATACAAGTATATGTCTTCACAAGTCACGGTCATAATTCACTCATGAAAAATTGCAATCAATTTCCGATCGATTCTCTTATGTTGACTACTCATATATGATACATATGACAAAAAAAATCGTTTTGATAGATGACTCTATTCTTTTATTTTTCTATAAATGTATCAATATGCATTATAACTATATGTCTACGAATAAAAGACAATTATAACATGTAGGTACAACTTCAAAGTGTTATTATATAATAAATTAAAGTACAAGTTGAATATATATTATAAATCTCAAAAGAAAAAAAAAAAAGAAAAAGGAGGAGTCAAAAACTCATATAGAGATAAAACGATTGATGAATAAGAATTTTCCTTTTCTATTCATCATCTAATTATAATGACTTCTTCAATTGACTTCAAAATAAGAAAAAAGAAAAGTATGAATGAATGAATGAATGAATGATCTTTTACAAAATGTATCATAAATAGGTGTCAAATCGTACCTTACAGCGATAAATCTCCTTGGTTGGATTTGCTCGAATGAATATTAAAGAAGTCAATAGACGAACAGACAGACATTTAGATATGTACATCATGCATATATGAAAATGTGTGTAATAGTCATCATCATCATTCACAGATAATGATAAGAAGAAGAGAGAGAGAGAAGAGGAAAAAAACAGCGAGAAGTAAAGAGCGGAAAGAATGTGAATGTACTCTCTTTTTTTGTTGCATGGAGCCTACAATTTTTGTGGTTCATTTGAAAAGAAACGAAAAAAAACGAGTCGAGGAAATAAGCAAGAAAAAAACAAAATAATAATAATAAGCCCGTTAGTTGATACCCTAGATATCAAAAGAAATAGTATAAATGAATGTTTGTATGTTAATTAAGTCAGATAGAAAAGCGAGAAAAAAAGAAAACTACAAGTAGAATTCTATTGATAAAGCTATCCGGGAAATAATAACATAAAATAGTAGAATAAAAACATAAAAGACAATGACAAGAATCAAGCAACATACACATACATTCTCATAGTACTATCTATTATTCAACACAAGGTCATTGATAGTACATGTAAAAGTGGAGAGATTTTTTTATCATTACTTCTTTTTTTTTCCTACATTGATTGTCGATTGACATGAATATAGATTTGAATAAAAGAAAACAGCTTGTCAATCAGATATGACCATCAGTCTGTCGTATGGTTTGTAGGATAAAGACAAATCAAAAAAATTCACATAGACTAAAAGTAAAAGAAAAGGTGTAATGCAGAAAATTGAATCTAATTTGTTAGATAAAGCAATAAGGGCGGAGAGATTGCTTACATATAAGAATATATATATATATACAATATATATCAATAAATCTATTGTTTTCTTTTTTATTGAGAGACAAAAGAAAAAAGGTTAAATCCATTTATCACCTTCTTTTTTTTCTGTTCATGCATTCGAACAAAATGGCATGAAACATCGTCAAAGATATGCTCACTATAACATATATTTATTAAGAAATTCAATTTATTTTGTTATTCAAACAAAAGAATAGATAATACTAATTAGATATTTTGTGTATACATAGGACTATAATGTACTGTTTTAGATCAATCAATCAACCAATTTTAACTTTAAAAAAATATTTTAATAAGTAGTACAATTAGTATTATTTAGATTATCAATGCAACAAGTACCATTTTGTTTTGTGCATATTAAAATAAACAACAAGAATCGTTTTGATTATATGCACTTATTCACTCACGCATAGCTTATTCTATCAAACAATCAATCAGAATTGGTTTGTTTTATATGCGTGAGCATGTCTCAGAAAAAGCTATCTTTATTGTCTAGCATAAAACAATGTCACATCATAACAAAATTAATTTAAAATCATCATTGCATGTCTATTTAGCTACGCTATACAATCAATATGATTGGTTATAATGAAAAAAGTGAATCATATGCATAAAATTCATATTAAATATAAATGAAGTCAAAGAAATTAATTTTTCTTGATAACCATTTTCATTATGAAAATAAAAAGAACCAAAAATTTATACACTCATATAGCATTTAAAAACATGTACATAGATGTAATAGTATATTGTCGGAGATTCTTTTCTTTTTTTCTTCCTTTTTTTTTTTAACATAGAAATTCTATCATACAATAAAATATATATACAAAAAGAAAAAAAAAAAAAAAACAAAAATTTGACTCGATTTTATTTTATATCTTCATTAAGTTTTTTTGTTAATGTGGGACTTGAACTTCTTATTGTTTGTTGATTTTCTGTTAAATCAACTAGATCATTATCATTTGGATTTATTAAAGATTTTGTTCGTTTAACTGCTGACATTGGTTTAAGAAATAGATCCGAACTTAAACGACGTTTTGTTAATAATTGATCATTAGTTATTTGTGGATTTATTGATAATGATGAAGAATTATTTTGTTCATATGCATTTATTAATTGAAGTTCTTGTTCAACAAAAAATTTTTCTAAATAATCACTAAAAAACAAAATGTTCTATTTATAAAAATAAACAATAGAACTTACGTAACATAAGGATGTAAATGAAATCGACGTTTCTCAACACGATTTTGTCGAACAAATACATCATGACGAGCTGATTTTTTCCATATATAATAAAAAAAAACAAGTTCATTCACAGTACGATTTGGAATCTAAATTTATATAAATAAATATTTATTTTTTTTTCAAACAACAAAAAAAAAATACAAAAGTTTCATAGCGCAGACTCGTTTGAGATTAAAATGTAGAACTCAGCCTTATTATTACTAATATAAAATACATTAAGTAAACAATCTTCAGAAGGTTATATTCCAAGATAATCGATTAGTAGTGATATGATCTATCGCATTTCGAATAGAATTTGTTTTTTTTTGCGATATGTTTCATTTTCGTATTCCATTTTTCTTAATTTAACACTATATTATACTATTCTAACCATTGATTTTAACTAATAAACAAGGTTGTTGTACATATCCATTATATCTGCAACAAATCTCAACATACCATTATTTATCTCAATAATCTCAGAAGCAGTAATATTGATTATTTCTCACGATTATAACTTGATCAGTTCACGCTTTTTATGTTGATCATATAACGACTATGGTAAATCAACGCATCACTAGCTTATCATCCGTGACATCTTGAATAGAAATTTTTATCTATGCAAAAATCAACAACTGCGCTACTATTTCGAATACTCACAAATGTATTCTAACCATTCAAATTTCGATGACGGCTTTGAAATATTCTAGAACAGTCTAAGTCTTGTTATTAGTGCCATTTAGTATCGTTTTGTATTGCTAAAAAAACTCTTAGAAAGGAATATGATGTCTGTTGTTCTTGACTTCTATAGAAATGTATCTGATTAACCGTTGGTCTTTTTCCCTCCTTTGCTATGGAGAGAGCGGATATAACAGTATTAGCCATCACCGATGTTCTCTCTTTGTTCTTGTTAGATGTGCATTTATTCATATTTGTAATTGCTTTAGTTTTTTTTAATGTTCATTTCATTTTTTGATCATTTCCTCGGTATTTATAATGATTCACTGTTCATTGTACACTTATCTTTGTCACTAATATTTATCTCATGAACTCTTTCTTTTATCGTACATATCGTTATTTCACAATTAAACTTCTTCTTGACTGCTACTTACAGTCAACTACTTTATTTTTATCTATTCATATTGTTCTTTCTCTTGATAATTATCATTTTCTTTTGTTGTTCATCATCAATGAATCATCATTCATGTTCAAAACAATTGATCATCATTTTATCATATGTCACCTAAGTTCGTATTCTATTGTATTTTAGTTGAGTACAACGAAATTTTAACTTAAAATTTACATTCATTATAATTTTCTTCGAAAAAAGTGAATTTCATTAAAAAAAAAAAAAATAATAATTTACCTTAAACATTGAAAAATCTTTTCCATATTCTTTAAAACATTGTTCAAATTGATCACATTCTGCTAATGACCATGGTACTGAACAAACTAAAAAGAAAATATTCGAACAATGAAATATATGTTGTTGTTTTTTCTGAGTATACAATAATTTTTATTGGTTGTTGGTAAACGAAGTTTATCTAAAGCTTGATCAATATTATAATTTGCTGATAGAAATACTTCAAGTACAATTTCTTGATCAGCTGTTCGATCTATTATGAAAATAAATGTGTCTTTTTTGTTTTTTAATTTAAATAAACATACGTTCTTTAGCAGCTAGTTTTAAATATTTATTAACTAATGAAGAATTTTCATCTTGATTTGTATCTAATGGTAGAGACCAAAGTAATTGATCATTGGATGATTCTAAAACAAAAATTTTTTAAAAATTTTTAAATAAATTTCTTTTTTTTTTTTATTGATTATTTATCCTCAACCTTGATCATTGTGATCGGTTGATAGAAGTAAATCAGGAACAACAGCTTGATATTGATCACCAATATTAATAGCCTAGAAAATAATAAATATATAATACAGCAAAATACAAATATTGTTGCTAGCACTTTGAATAATTTATTCTAAGAATGATTAGGAATTACAAATATGTCGAATTCGAATGAAAATATCGAATTACATGTTTATTCTACAGATGAAAAGAAAAATTTGCTCGATGCTTCTGCAATGATATTCAAAAAAAAAAATGTTTAAAATTTCACTGGTATAACTGTAATGAACTAGAACTTTTGTTGTTAATATATGAGATGCTCATTGCAACAGTCGATCAGCATTTCAAGTTGAAAACTTTTGATCTCATATACAAAAACGAAAATAGAGATTCATTAACTGAATTAATTCTAATAAAAAGGAAACTAAGATATTTTCGATTTCATGTAGATCAAAAAATGATTTTTCCAGGTTAAGACATATACTGTGTATTTCCGATAGTAGCAAACAAATGCTATTTTCTTTTGCTAAATTATTACTATGTAAATAGTTTCAGATGCTGAGTAAGAATGTCTATTAGTTCTTCATTGAACTAGAGCCGATGTTGAACTTTACTATTAGTTAAAAAACAAAACATTATATTTTAAGTTGAGATCTCAGTCACATTGAATGCCAAAAAGTTATGTTTCTATTCTGAAAGATTTGCTATTAAACTTTGATAATGATGTGTTAGACAGTAGAGCTTGAAGTCGAGCTACTTTTTGATGGCTAGAATAGCATTATTAAAAGTATATTTATTTTTAGAAAAAGAATTTCTACATGATGGAACTTCACAATTATTGCAGTCATTAAAAATGTTTATTATCATAGTGATCACGAGTTGAATAAGTTCGAACAATTTTAATACTTGAAAAAAACAGTTTGAGAGATAAGTTCACGAAAATTGATCATGATTTGACTGCAGTGGTTCCATTACAAACAATTAAATTATGAATAAAAATGATCAACTACACTAGCTCTATCAATTTATCATATCATCCCGATCGTCTAATGCATAGTTCGAACAAAAGTGAATATCTGCAATGTGAAATGATTTCTACTACTGTTCAACGAACGAGTATCAATAAGAAAACTGCCTATTGAAATTGTACTTCATTTTACTGTACGATTACGTTTGTTCCAAAAAAACAGTGAAGAAATTTATATTCATTAAATAAAGTATATAACTTTGTGCAGAGTTTCAAGTGCTATCTTTTTGATAAAAAAGACGCCTCAATCACATGTAAAATACATGAAAAATTTTTGAAAATATTAACAGCGCAATTATTTCTGAGCCACCCGTTATTTTTACTCATCATTTTTTCACCTCTATAACACTCACGTGGCTTAACGCAATTGATAGTATACTCAACATTGTATGTGAATGGAGAATGTCATTGAATCGAATCAATGCTCTGCCTTTATTTATTGACTAAATAAAACTTACAAAACATTCATAAAGAACTCTTGATTGTTAGTTATCGATTGCAAGATACAAAATCTGGCAACTTGCAGAAGAAATTTAGATCTACTTGACTCGGAAGAAAAACCTCTCTAAGTCGTCAATTTTGAGGTTTGTTAGACAGTATAGAATACTTTTGATAACACATATGATTGTTACAAACATTTTCTTTCTGATATTATGAAAAAAAAGCTCAACGAATTCTTCGTGATAAATAGCAATTGTCAACTTCTGTTTTTGTGTACATACTTTTTGCCAATAGAATGAAAATGATGAACCATCAACATCTTCTTCATCAGCATTTTCATCTATAAAAAAATTTTTATATTGATAAAAATTATTGACTCTATTTTTCTACTTACTTGAAGTTGGCTGTTCAGCAATTAATAAACGTTGATAACCACTATCTTCTTCTTGATCAGTTGAATCTTCACTAGATGTACTAATTTCTTCTTGTTTTGATGTTGGTATATTTGCTATATTAGATGAACTCGTATATAATTTTCTTAAATCTTCAATTGGCATTTCACTTTCCTAAATATGAGTAGCATAGAAAAAAAAAACAAACCTACTATTTCTTTATTATTGAATGTCTTTTCTTACAACTGTTAATTTAACTATTTCTGTTTGAAGAAGTTCATTGGTGACAGATGTTTGTTGTTCTTCTTTTATTACTTCTACTTTAACTTTATTCAATGTCTGTTCTTCATCATTATTTTCTATTTTTGGTTCTTTCGATAATTCTTCTGATTCATTTTGTATTTCAGCCATTTATAAATATTGTCTAAATAATCGAAGATAAATATATATATACATATCCTATTTAAGTATTCGATTAAATATATGCTTGATTAAAACAAATTTTATTTTTTAATTCAAAACGAAAGAAAAAACAAGCTGAATTATAATAGAACGCTATTTTCATTACAATAAAAAAATGCTTTTACAAAAACTAAAAGATATATTTAAAATATCATTTTCTACAGCTTGATTAAACTTATATATAGATATATATATGTATAAGACAAGAGCATAAAATAATCTCGTTCGCTAGATTAATTAATCTTCAATATGTTGATGATTCACTACCAAGATCTCTTAAAACTGATTGTTTAAATGAATTGACCATATAGCGAAACTAAATAGGAGAAAAAAATTATATAAAATATTTTAATGCTAATAAATTAAATTATCTTACACCAATAAACGCAACAACTGTTCCTAGAATTGCACCACTAAGAACATCTGTAGCATGATGACGATTGTCTGTAATACGTGTAATACCTTAAGAAAAAAAAAAAAACAAAAATTCAACGACTATCTTGAAAGACAATATAATTAAATAAATACATACCAATATAGGCAGCTAAAGCAAAACAACCCATTTTCATAAGATATGGAAATAGACCAAAATTACGATAATTCCAGACTTTATGAACATAAAGCTAAAGATATAAAAATAAATGATTAAATATTTCTTAGATAAAAAAAAACAAATAGAAAGATAAGATTTTTACAGCCAAAAAGATTAAACCACAAAAAGCTGATGATGCATGGCCAGATGGAAATGATTGACTATAAAAGAAAAAAAATAGAAGACAATATTTTTTTTTTCACATGAATGAGTGACATTCTCATTTATACATAAATTATCTAAATTTAACATTACTTTTTAAACTAAAAAACCATTCATTTAATTTATAAAACTTTCGACTCTTTAGCTATTACTCAAAATCTAAGCTCTGAGTTGAATTATTTATTTGTTTATTTCTTCGATTATCTTGAATCGAATCGATCTCATCTTTGGATTGTACTTCATTGTTGTCTACTCGATTGACTAAACTATAATAATGTGTTTCTATCAACATTAAGTTCATGCAATTCCGTTTGTCGTTCTTTTCGTTATAACAAATGACAATTTACTATATAATGATATTACGTCTATATATTTGAGTATTTAACTTAAGATCTATTAACAAGTTTTTTTCATGCTAGCAGAAGATTTCTTTGCTTTTTATACCTATTTTGTCTATTGATCTTCGACTTAAAAAAAATTTTCTCTTAAACTAATTTATTCGTTGTGTCATTGAAGAGTTATAATCTCCTCTATTTCTAAGAACATTTAGCGGCATTATGAAGACGCTCATCGATAATGGCTATAGTAATAAATGCAGTTCTCATATATCATTTTAGTTTATCAAAAGATTAAGATGTTCAATGTATCTATGACAAATAAATAGCAAAAAGGCATAAACGTCATTTTATTATCTTCAACTGACATGCAAACCAATATTTGAGTGCATACAACATTTTGATATAATGTCATGACTTAGTATTGTGAACAAATTGATTTAATAAATCGAAGAGATTATCTTTTATCATCTCAAATTATCCACAGTTATACTAAGGAAAAAAGTCAATAAAATGAAAGACAAAAGATTTATCAGATAAAGTTGTATTAGCTGTTGAGTTTTAGACTAATGGGCCCATATAACATTTCAAAATGAATCTTATAAAATCAACGAACCAAATTATTGTTTATTAATGATCATAAGTCTTTCATTTACTGTATTCTATATTTTAAATAAAATTTAAAAGAAAAGAATATCTCCCTAGTATAAATCTCTTATTTACTTCGCTTTTATCTTAAATACTAAAAAAAAGCCATGAATATTATCGATTTTATTTTTTCTATCATATTCAACATACCGAATATCATAAGAACCATCTTTTTCTTTAATAATATCACTTGCTTCTCCTAAACATACATAATTAACCATCCATTCATTTGGATAACGACAAAATTCTGTATAAGAGAATTTGTTAAAACATGATGGAATAAAATGTGGTCGTAATCGACCAACAGCTACTTTGCCAATATTAGTTAACAATGAATTAGCACAATTAGCAAAAAGAAAAACACCTAATAAAAAAAAAAAAAAGAAATAATATTTCATTGAAATTCAAAATAAATAATGAAAATATTACCAACAATAATATAAAGATTTCCCACCCATTCAGGAATCTTAAAAACTTTTGAACGAATTTGAAGTTCATAAACGACTTTAGCCGCCTTTCTACGATGTAAATAAAACCAACGAATACTTTCCGATAGAAGTATCTAAATAAAGAAAAAAGAAAATGCAAAAATCTGACTAATATCATTCAACTAATTTAACATACAATCACTAATGGTATTATAATAGCACAAATAAATAAAAGCCAAGTTGGAAAAACTTTTTTTTCTGGTGGTGGATGATATAAATTTAAATCCGAACATAAAAATGCTCGTCGAACTGGTTTAACAAAATATTTAAATATTAACCATGCAGCAAGTACTAGTTTAAAAAAACACCTAATAATTATATCATATAAATATGAATCATACCGATTATAAGTGCAAGACCATCGAAAACTATTTTTAATAATGAAATTGGTCGTAATATTTTTTGGTTACTAGAATCGATAAAAAAAAATCATGATTTCGTATAGAAGGTAAATAAAAACTTTTAAGAATAGAAAAAAAACCTGTGAATATCTGCCGCAGACATCTCCATGGAAATGTATGAAATAGTCGAACCTCCTTGTTTTAGGGCATCATTACTCATGTTTTTTTTCTTTTTACTAATAACGGAACAGGTTAACGTCTAGTTACTTCGATGGCATTCTTTTTTTTTTATTCTGTTCTTCCATATAAAAAAAGAAGAGAAGAAAAAAATACCTTCGTATAGCTACATCCGGTGGCTGGAGCCGTTTGCTTTCGACTGAATTGTCGTCGTATTTCTCTCGACGTAATGAATTATTATTCATTTTTTGTACTGCTTCGTTTGATGATTTTCGACAACGATACAAAGGCACTAGCTCAGGTTGTTGTTCCGAACCAAGTACTATATCTGAATCACTTTCTGCCACTTCGAATATAATGTTTTATTCAAAAAAAAATCAAATCTATAAACGATTGAAAAGATTTCATTTAGTACAATATTTATTTTTATTTGAAAATAAAATAATTAAAATATATAAATGTTTATGCATTCGGATGTTCCCAAGTACTGTGCCCTGAACCATCACGATAAATAGGATTTACTGATCTTCCTCGATTTTGTTTGCCTGTTAGTTGTCTTGGATTAATAGCTACTATATGAGGTAAAAATCCTGGAGTATAATGACGCCAATTAAGAATAAATTTAAATGTTGCAAAAGCAATTAATGATCCAACTATACTACCAAAGAATACATCTTGCCAATGATGATGAAAATCACTTATACGTGAATATCCTATTAAAATATACTTTAAGAAAACAAAACACAATTGTTGTTGTTTTGTTTTTACTTACCAATATAACATCCAAGTATAGCAATACCTATTTGAAATAAATGACCAAGAAGACCAAGATGACGCCATGACCATGATATATGAATATACATAATTAACCAAGTAAAGCCAACTATTATAAATACATAATAAAAGAATTATTTTTTTTCTTTGTTTAGAAAAATAAACCTTACAAAAAAGTGGTGCAGTATGTCCACTAAAGAAAGATCGACTAAAAAAAAAAATAAACATAAGTGCAATTTCTTTTGTTATTATATATAAACATACCGTGCTTCTCGTACACTTGCATCATCTGTATTTTGACATGTATAACCACTTCCATATTGCAGATAAGAATAAAATTGATATGATGATATTAGAGTCGAACAATCAGGACTTGGTTGACATACAGCAAGAAAATGTGGTCGTAATTCTCCAACAAAATTTTTTGCTATTTCAGTTAATACCCATGTTGCAAGGTAACCATAAGCAAATATCACTGATGTGAAAAAAGGAAAAGAAAAAAAAAGGGATAGATGAATAATATAATCAAATTTTTATATACCAGTAAGAATGTATAAATTACGAATGATTGGTTTAATGACTATTTTTTTTCCACCACATAATTCTAGACATATTCGAAACGGTGTTCGGGGATATTGTCCATAATAACATACTTTACAAAATTCTGTAGTCCACATCTAAATTATAATAATGTTTAGGATTAGATCTATACAATTATATTACCCAAATAACGGGAAGAGCAATTGAAAGAATAACTGCAGCATACGTTGGTATTGTATTATCTTTATATGGATATTTTATTGCTGTATCCGTACAAAAGAAACCACGTGTAAATGGTGTAGCAACATAATGTGATATAACCGTTATAACAGTTACTGAAAACAAAAAAAAATTATTATTATTTGATTTCTTAGAGAAAATAACGATTTTACATATTGTAAGACTAATAATATCAAGAACAATACGCCATATACTTTCAATATGATCATAATGATCAGCTATTGCTACTGATTCAGTTGAATTGGCAGTTATCTGTGCTGGATGCTGATTGTTGTAAGGGCCGCCGCTTGGTTGTTGTTGTTTCATGGCTGTTATTCAACGAAAATCCAACGTAAGAAATAAGAAATAAGAAAGAAGTAACAGAACGATAAAATAGAAATGCAACGAATGAGTTTCTTTTCTTTTTTGTCGTATAAAACTAAAAGAAGAAGTGTAACTAACAATGTCTCGCTCGCTTTTTTTTTCTTTTGCTAAGTAACTTCTTTTAATATAGAATTTGTAAAGAAACAAAAAAAAAGTTGACGTCAATTATATTCAAATAAAATAATATTATATGAAAAGATCTTTCATAACACGACTATTTCATTAAGAACGAAAATGAAGAATTGATGATTGTCTCCAGCAAGAATAAAAATAGGTCACAAATATCAGATTGGTCATAGATAATTTAAATAAAGAATAAAACATCTCTTGGCTTTTTCTTCCCGTAGAATGCTATTAGCACAATTTGTATCGAATTAAAACGTAAAATACAATATAGCTGTCATAGCTAATTAGAGAAAGATTGTGTTATTTTATACATCTTGGGACACAATTCTTCATCTTTCTTTTACTAAATTCTCGAGAAATGCAATAAGAATTTATTTCATATGTTGTAACGAGCTCTTACGAATACATAGTCTATGATGAGTTACCAGGGAGTCTGTCGCAGTCCGAATGTCTATCCTATATACTTCAAAACTCTTTTTGGATCGTGTTGTACAAAAAACATGATGAAATCTTCAAGAGTATGAATATCACATACATTTTTCATAGTGAGCATTATGAGATTCTCTGATTAATAAATTATTTCATATAACTGATAGGGTAATAGCGATCAGTCAGTATTAGAATCTACCAAAAGGAATAGATAAATTCATTGAATAGAAATCGAAAACTGAGGTTTTGTCATCAAACAATGCGTTTAAGCAACCTATACTCTCAAAATAGAGATCTAAGAATTGCATAACGACTGTAAATTATATCGTCACTTGACAGTCATCAAAACTGCAAAGTATGTGTGGTGAAACAGAAAATTATTCTCGTTTCTTTTAATTCCATTGACACATTTAAATAATGAATAAAGGCAATGTGTAATTATAATTATTACCAGAGTTGAATAATTTCTCGTCTTTACTATGGCAAATGTCGATACAATGTTTAAACTTTTCTAACACAAACATAGAAAATTGAGGTTGTATAAAATTAAGACTAGACGAGAAGATGACTGACTATATAAGCCTCGAATATGTTAATACATAATCTCATATGCTACAATTATCAACATTTAAATCTGTTCTATTTCTATCTGTATTCTTTTTCAATAAATTTCTTTCTATTTAAAATAAAATAATCAATAGATAATATGCGATGCAAAAATGTCAAATTCTGTTATACCCCACATTGCTTACTTCTAAATCAAGAAAATCGTTTTTAGAAAGAACAATTTTAAGAAAAATTCTTATAAACTTTTTTCTATGTGAAAAGCCTGTATTATTGAATTATTTTGAGCTACAAGAATGAATCAAATCAGTACAGAAATATATCAAAATGTAGCACATCTAAAACCCTATCAACATCAGCTTTAGCAAAATTTGTTTAGATCTGTCCCTAACTCTTTAGTCAAAAAAGTTCTAAAAAAAAATGAAAATTTTATAAAATACAGCCTTTTCTGAGAAATATCAGTTTGCAAGAACATCAGCCACTATCTCCAGAAATTATGGATGAACTGAATTCTTTTAGCGTTATTTATATGGAATATTTTAGGTCATAGAAATTTAGCACAAAAAATAATTCAAAAAACAAACATTTTTTTTTACCGTTGCAAAACTGCCAGGTAGTAAGAACGATCAACTTACACGATCTTTTTAAGAAAAAGCTTTCGATACATCATTGAAAAGAACACTCTTTACGTGACAAAAATTAGCATTAATTATGTTTTTCTTTTCATTTCCTTTTTGATTTAAAAAAAATTAACAGAAAATAAAAAATACTGCTGCTCGACAATGAAGTTGCAAGGACGTTTTTGAAGGTATTTGGTTTTGAACTTTTCCTTCTCGTCAGGTTTGCTCTGAAAAAATATATCTGGTACTAAATTTGTATTTCAGACATTGCCCGTCCTAATAAAAAAAAATTTTTTTATTTAAGACTTCGTCATGAATAATTTTAAGTAACACAAAACTATAATTCAAATATATTTGCATTTAACATCTAAGATACTTATGGTTGTTTTACGCGTAGTTTTATTTCTCAAGTACTGTCGAATTTTCAAAAACAAAAAGAACTTCGGATGTACACTCGTCAACCATTTGCCTTTCTCTGACAGAAAGTAAAATAAAAATAAATAGGCAATGTCGTTGCGAGATGAATAAGATCGGGGAAGAGACGATCTGGTAGCAGATCGTCGAGTTACTGTAGGTTGCGTTCCTTCCTCCGGTCACGACTTCTAGCGTTCTGAGGATGAAAGTACTTTTTGCAAAAATTTATAGCCTTTGAATCCCGAAAACAAATTAACAACTCTCCTCAGGTACTGAGAGCGAGTGGTTGATTTGAATTTTAACTCCTGTGTCGCGCGAAATAAGAAAAAAAGAAAAATTTGTCATGGAAATCAAGCAATCGAAAAGGAATAAATCGGCTGCTTTATAAATGACTAGTAAAAACACAAAAAAAAAGTTCGATTTAAAATGAGAACATCAGATTTTGCGACGTTTACTAAGCTTCGTCATGTAAAGGCTAAAAACAAACGACAAACACTCAATTTTCCAACCGAAATTTCGTTATGTTTTAGTGTAAGTTCGAATGTCAATAATGTAAAATTAAAGAAAACAATTCTTTTTTCTTTTGTTTCTATTTTATACATAAAGGGTGTATCAGAATAAATGAACTTCTGAGTATTTTCTCAATATCCACATCAATTTTAATTGTTACGAACTAAGTTTCGTCGTAGAAGCAAAAAATTTATTACACAAATACACAAAGTAATTTGTATTTTCTTCTCCAGTAATGAAACATGGTTTAAACGTTGCAAGGCATCATCGTAGGTACAATCAAGTGTCCTCAATTTGATGACACATAGAAAAGAACCTATCAACCTACAATATTGACAGAGAATCTAGTGTTTGGACAATAGGTCCTAATCTGTCATATTAGATCTTTTTTGTTTTGAACGTAATCGAGAGGAAAAGGTATTCATTCTAAATTACGTAGACTTCTCTAGCATGATTCAATAGCTTTTAAATAGAGAAGAAAAATATTTCTCTTCGAAAAAAGAATTTATGGATAATTTAAATATTTCAAAACTGTGAAACAAAAACGGTTTTCTTTGTGAAAATCTTACTTTGAATCCTAGAGATCGGTTGTAAATATGGATTAGTGAACTTTATTCGCACTTTCCTTTCGTCAAGAGTGTTTTTCGCCGCTACCGACATCACTGAAAGAATTTTTTTTATACCAATAATCTGTTTTGATGAATGAATTTAATAATTGAAAATGAATTTGGATTAAATATGATTCATAGTATGTATATATAACACATTATTACAATTAATGAGTTTATTACAAATCGATTCATTACCATTTGAGTTACCAACTATCTCAGTTGGTTACGAAACAGATTAAATCTATTACCCAGTTGAAAATAGATGTCACCAGAAGAAGATTTCATCAGTTTTATTTTTTACTTAAAAGATTTGTGGCCATAATATAGTCTCTACATTTTACTGAAAGCTCAATAATTAGATTTGGACGTATTCATGGAAGGCTGTGGGTGTCGAGAGAAAGATGCCTACATTCCTTCACGAATACATTTGAATCTAATTATTGAATCTCCAATAAAATGTAGAGACTGATATAAGTTTTTTGAGTAAAAATTAAGATAGATGAAACCTTCTTTTGGTGGCATCCATTTTCAACCAGAAAACAGATTTAAACAATTTTATAATAAACTAAATAATGACAATAATATATCATATATAAAAATGGATCATATTTGATCTAGACTTATTTTCGGTTATGAATTCATTCAGCGAAAATGAAAATTACTGTGAAAATCAGTGAACCCTACCTATACGATAGAGCTTTTCAAGTCCTGCAAAATGGTTTGTTTCACTTTTTCTATACATCAATGTGAGAATGAATTAATACAAGAAAGAATTGTTAATAGTTTTGTAGAGAATTGAATGCTGAATCTTTTAAGTTTCATCTTAAACGATTCAGCATTCAATTACTCAGAGGCTCATTTATTCTTGCACATCCGTTAGTTAAGATACAGTTTGGTAAGATGAGAAAGTTTATACGGAACTCCTCAAAACTATAAGAACAAGGTATTGGTGATAGAAATTTAGCTTACTGAAAAACTCAAATACGACAGTTTCTCGGTCTTAGAATAGATCGTACAAGTTCGTTTTTAATAATATGATCTAAAAGAGCACAAAATTTTGAACAATGTGATGAGTCGCCGCGCCTATTTACGACCTTTTCCTGCAAAGTTACAAGCATCATAAAAAATAAAAGAAGCAAAATTTATTAAAAAATCGCTGAAAAATGCATTTTTTTGTTTTTTTGTAATGCTGATAAATTGATAGGAATAGATCGTAGAAAAAACGTGGCGATCGCTCATTTCGTTCAGAATTTTTTGCCGTATCAGATGGCACTGTTAACATTCGAACTCCTACAATCTATTCTAAGACCTGAAAGCTACCGCGTTTGGTTTTTTTGTAGCAAACTTTCCCACATAGTCCAACCATGAATCCTTGGTATATAGTGTATCTAATAGAGAGCTTTATTGGGTATACAAATCACTATTCGGCTTTAAGTCAAATCCTCAGCACTACAAAAAAAATGTGAACAATATCCTATTCTTATACATTTCAGCGACACAGTATACCTTTAAAGGTTGCCTTTAGCATGGTAGCACCAAGATATTTGACTTTTAAGGTATTTACAGTATCTGAATGCTACATATATACTTATTCGATGAAGCTATAGAGCTATAAAACAAGATAAACAATTTTAATAGAAATAAAAAAAAATTTCTAAAAACTATGTATGAAGATTTATCAATTATACTTTGTTGTAAATATATTTTTCGGAGTAAATTATAAAAAATAGCACTTCTACGGATGAGCGACATCCATACTCTTTGATGTTCCATGTCAATTAGACTAATAAATCTATAGGATGTCATCAAATTTGTTGAATAACTAACGTGATGCAGTTTTCTAAGCGAGAAAAAAGATGAATTCATCGATAAGTTTCTTTTTTTTTCTTGCTAGTATCGATTATTGCGAAAAACACAAACAAAATTCAACCAATATCTTCCTACCTGTCATTCAGACGGCACAGGAAAATCATTTGTACAATTGGAATAAAGTTCATCTAAGAATGAAATAAAAACAAAATTCAAATAATCAATTTAGGCTTCTATTAAAAAATATTCTTACATTAATCAGCGAAGCAGAAATAGAGAAAACTTCTTTGTTCTGTTTTTTTCCAGATTTCTTCGACATGATTAACCAATCATTGAAAAGCAATGATTTTTTTTTTGTGCATAAAAATTATTTTAAATTAATAAAAAAAAGAATAAAAATAAATAATTTTATCATTAAAATTAATTTAAAAAAAAGAATATTTATAATAGATGTCGCGAATTACTTCATCTATTGACCGGCACAAACAAAGAACCACAAAAAGATACGTTGCATTCACGTTCATTCATTTATTGAATTCAATCAATAAAAAAGTTTAAAAAAAATGCAATCATCTATTTCATTTACACTTAATATTAATAGTCAAAGTTCGAATGCTCATAATATTCGTCCAATTCTTCCAAATATTTTTGCTGATAATGATATACAACGAACAATAAGAATTAATAAAATATCATCATCGGTATCAAAAAAATTTCTAAATAATAAACGAGAACAACGTTTAGTAAGTAAACAATGTTTTTTACCATTACAACCAACTATTATTAAAACATCATCATTAACTACAATTGATATTCAATCTAAACTTGGTATATAATTCATTAATTTTATCAATCATTTTATTCTTTTTGTTTTACTTAGAATCGATTATTTTAAAAACTGTTGATTGTGAAATCATTGATTTATTTAATCAAATAGTAAAGAAAAATAAAAATGCTTTTGTTTTTCTATTAAATTTCTTTCGTTTTTTTTCTTTTAAGAAATCAAAACCAACAACAACAGCTTTTAATGATAATCTATCAGTTATATTAGCAAAACTTTTACCTAGTGAACATAAATATTTTTTTGGTAGTATTGTTATTACAGATAAAATTGATTCATTATCAGATGATACTAACAATTCTATGTCACAGGTAGATTAAAATCTTACTCTTGATGCGGACAAAAGAAGAATTTTGAATTTAAGGAACGTCGTATTGTCATGGATCAATTACGTACTCTTGAATTTGTACAATTACAAGCATTTGCACGTGTACTTCAACAACAAAATAAAAAGTATTTTCATTTTTTTTTGTTTGTTTTAGTTTGAAAATTTCTCTTTTTGTTGTAGATCACAATCGACAATTGATAAATTACAACAAAAAAATAATCGTATGTCACCTGCTCAATTACTTGCTGAATCAATTAAAGTAAAAAATTTTTATTTAGATTTTTTTTTTTTTATATAATTTTTCAATATTTAGAAACAATCTCTCGATAAAATAACATTTGCTTTGATTATGGATCGTATATTAGGCAAAGTTGATAATCAATTATCATGTTTACGTGATGAATGCTATATGTCAGCTGTTAGTAATGTACAATCATTAGTACAAAAAGATACAGGAACAACAATAATGATGACAAAAATTGAACAAGAACTATCACATCTACGTAATAAAGTTAATCATTTAACATTAAGTATGATCATAAAAATCTTTTTTTTTGAATCATTTTCATTATTTTTTTATTTTTATTTTTTGCTAGCTAATGAAAAATATAGTCAATTAATAACTCGATTATTACAGTAGGTATATGTATAAATAAAACGGATGAAAAATAAAATCATTTTATTTTTTAATAGAGATATTCAACATGTTCATGATATGTCACAACATGATGTCAAAGAAGCACATAATATGCGTTTATTTATTCAATCATTACATGATGTTACTTATCAACATCGATTTGTGTATGTTTTATCTAGATTTTCGCTTTTAGAGTATAGACACATTCTGTACGATAGAATAACTACAAACTTCAAGAATGTTTACTCAATTTTATGAGGAATATCGGCATTAATCGTTCTTCATTTTCGGACCCAAACTAGTCATATGTTTTCGAGATCAGAGAGAAAAGTGTTTGATTTGAAAAAGAAATTGATCATCATTGAGGCTTTCATTGAACTTATTAGAAATGATTAGAAGTCTACTTTTAGATATAAGTTCGTTTCAATAGAAGAAAAAAAAATTCTATTTTCACATTTTTAAAAATATGATTTATCTGAAATTGTTAATCGAATTATTCTTCTAGTCGAAGTGAATGTAAAATAATAAAACGATCAATAAATCAATTAGAACTTGGATTTTTTGATAATCTTATTCATATTCAACTCGATGGTAAAACAATTGGTCGTATTACAACTTGGACACAAATAAGCGATAAAAATGATGATAATATTGAATGTAAAATTATCTATTCTACTGATGGTAAAGTAACTAGGTTATAAAAAAAATATATATTTTTATTTACTTATTTTATTCATAGAAAACTTAAATCAAAGTCAACAATTAGCTTATGAATTACTTAAAAATGAAATCAACATCTATTGGAATCGTCCATTAACAAGTACAATATCCATGTCATATCTTATAGAATTTATACGAAAATTAATTGAATATTCACTCATTGCAAATAATTTATCACGAACATTAATTGTTTGTCTCGAAACATTACCATGTAAATTAATTGATAATAAGTACGTATAGAATACTTCTTGACACTAATCCAGTAGATGTGATGTAAAGTCAAATTCAGGAAAAGCTTATACAAAATTGTCATGAAAAATATTACTTCCACTAAATAAAAGAAAAAAAAACATCGTTTTTACAAATTTGAAGATTCTACGTAATATTCGAGAACCACTTTGATCCTATGCTGAAATAGATAGTTTCTATGAATGAATTAAAAATGATTCAATAGAGGGTTAACTAACTTTTATTTTTGTTTTTTTAATAAAGATTTACTATTGATTGGTCAACACCACAAATACGTCTTGATATTGAATGGGAACTTGATGAACGAATATTTCGTGATTGTCCATTAAAATCATCTTATTGTTGTCAACCACAACATAATGGATTGTATGTATATATTTGATTAAAATTTTCATTTGATATAAATTTATTTCATAGATGTAATGAACTTCAAATTCTTCTTGATCGTATGAAACCAATAAATGGTTCAATTGCTAGTTTATATGAACAAGTTGAAAAACATATTCGACCATGGATTAAACTTTTTGATGAAATTCAAAATGATAATATAAATAAATCTCAAGTTAATATATCATTACAAAAATTAAAACAATCATTAGAAAAATTATTACTTGAACATAATTAATTATATATAAAATTTTACAATAGAAATTAAAAAAAAAAGTTTAATGTTTATCGATATAGTTAAATCAAATATTCTTGTATATGTATTGTTTGCATAAATAAATTTATTAAAAAAAAACAATAAAGATTTATTAGATAATTATTGTTTTTGTTTGAATCGATTTGTCCAGTGTTTCTACATATTTAAGATTCAGTTAAATAATGAAATGTTCTCTTTGTTTTTTGAAATTAACATTGTTTTGCTGTAGACGAACTTTTAGCTTATAATCTAACAAGAGAACTTCTTCAGGTATCAAATTACTTTTTGATCGAGACGATATTTATCTGATGAGCACTAGTGAGTAATAAAAAAGTCTAAAATGGTTTGGTTTTCCGAGTCTTTGTTCTCGAGATATCAAAATTTCATTGAATTTTTCAACAGAAAACTGTGGTCCTCGGGTCATATGAAAAATCGACTTTCGATTTCAAACGTTGCCCAATGAAATAATCACATTGAGAACTTTGTTCGTGCAAAATTTGACGTCGAAAGTCGATTTCCTACGTGATCTGAAAGGGGACTACGACTTTTTGTTGAGACACCCAGTAAAATTTCGTTATCTCGAGAATGGAGACTCGGAAAATCAAACTATTCTAGACTTTTCTATTACTCACTGGTACATATCAAGTGAACATCGACCTCGCAACATAAACATAAGAAAATGATTGACATGTGACTTTTGACTTCGTCTTGTAGTGAACTTCATTGTATAAGCTTTGATAGTGTTTGTGAGTTTTAACTTAGTTCAGATACAGGATAGATCATAGATAGCTATATGACAAAAATATTGGAATGTCTGCACTTGGATTCAATCAAACGTGCTGATCTTTTCCTTTTGTGGGTGATAAAGACTTATTTAAAATCTTTGTTTTCGTCTGAATAATGTAAAGAAAATACTGTTCTTTAGAAGTTTAATCTGTTGTTCAGTAAGACAATAACAAGAGAAAGAATTCATGTCCAGTAATTCAAATGTATATCAACTGTTGACTTTTAAGTTAACTAGTTTTAAAAGTTCTCCGTACAGTAATTATAAGAAGAAGGCATTTTTGATTTTTTTCTGTAATGTCGAATGTCTACCTCAAACCCATATATAATGATTTGGATAGCAAATAAAATTCTCTATCAGATGTCCTATATACTAAAGTTTCATTGTTCAACTATGTTGGAAAGTTTTCTAAAACGCTAAACACGGCAGTTTTCAGGTCTCAAAATAGATTGTAGAAATTCTTACAAAGTTACATGCAATACAAAAACATCGATCCGTGAGAAATCAAATTTATCACATTTTACTTTTCTATGCGCGCATCTCTAGTACAATTTTAACAATAGGAAGTCGTGAACGTGACAGGATGTGGAATGTAGATGAGGATGAAGTCTTTATTCCACCCACATCCTACAGGAAGTAAAATTTATGAAAGTCATAGTGGCTTGACAAGCCGTAAAATAGAATAGAATAAATTTAATTTCTCGTGGGCCGATATTTTTGTATTGTCTGTAATTTTGCAAGAACTTCTACAGTGTATTCTGGGAACAAAAAATTGCCATGTTCAGTTTTTTTAGAAAACTTGCCCACATACATAGTCCAATAATGAAATCTTGATATAGAGTGCATCTGATAGAGAACTTGATTAGTTATACAAATTACTATTTAGATTTCAGTTTGGCATCAGAAGAAAAAAGTCAAATATTGTCTTGTTATAATTTTGAGCAGTACAACACGTACGTCGATGTGCTATCACTAATAAAGTTTGTTTTAATTATTTCTTGTTATTGTGTGAGATGAGAATTAAATGTTATTCATGAATCACTTCACACAACAAACTGTATTTCTTTAGTGAATTCAATAATGATACTTCAAAACATTAGTTTTGTTCGTGTTATCTCTATAAGAAAAAATCGTCCAATAGGTCTTCACCATCAATCGATTTGATTGAACCGTAGTGAAGATATTTCTTTTTTTTTTCTTATAATTATTTATAGTTTACTCTGTAAAGCATTAATTGATCCTCAAAATTCTTATACTAGATTGAAGAGCTATTGTAAATATGCCGTTGGCGTATTGAATCTTTTTTATTGAATACCACTCTATAAGGCGGTTATGTATTATTTGAATAGACTTGTGTACTTGTTTTATATATCATATTAGAAAATCTGACTAAAATTTTGGTTTTTTTTTTTATTGATTTATGTCTTTGTTTAGAATATATTCCAAACAAATAAAATGAAATTTTATTGAAGAAAAATTTGAATGTGTTAATAGCAAAAATTCTTCTTTTCTTTTATGCCACTTGCTATAACTTTTGTTCTCATTTTCTTTTCACATCTCACTACCATTTCCTTTGAAGTATCTATCATAAATATTAATGGGAAAATTCTTCATCAAAATTAGTATGTAGTAAGAAGCATAGAAAAAAAAAATAGTACTTGAACATTTTCTTCATATAAAACTCATTTCCTACAATAAAATAATGACGTCAATTTGATTACCTGTCTTACATATTATTTTAATCAGTCGTTCTAGATTTCTTTTGGATAAAAGTTAATAAGGTATTATAATATAGAGAAAGTACTCTAATGAATACATATATAGAGATATGCAAAGAAGAAAACAAAAAAAACGAAGATTTTTTAATGACGTCGTAAGTACATTCAATATGATTAAAAAGAACAGGATGTATTATATCAGAAGTTATTCATTAAATTGTCACTCATATTTTCTCTTGTCAACTTCTAATCATGTCAAAAACGTCAATGACAATGAGAAACAACGCTAAAAGGTGCAGCTTATATTACGGAAGAATGCATGAGTTTAATCTTTGAAAAGCATATTATTCTGCTGTATGAATAGTCTTTTTTAGCACTTAAGAGTATTATTTTATAATGAATAGTACCATTTTTAAAAGAATTATTTGTAAACTACATAGATAGAAATTTGTCTTGATAAAAAAACAAATGATTATGTTACATAGAATAAATGGACCAAATCATATTAATCTAATTTGTAAATTATTTTGTTATAAGAAATAAAGAGAAAGATAACATTAAATTATCAATGAAAAAATGCTTATTTTTTTGTAATAGTAAATGAATATAATCAAAAATGAATTTCGATTATCAAATAATTATATCAATGAAAAGAAGTCTGATAAACTATATAGACGTCTTCTTTTCTTTTCATTTAGTTATTTTCTCTTATCAAGAATACTTGAGATATTATTGAATTGATCAAGCAAAAGGTTCTCAATCTGTTGATGACATTATTGAAAGAAAAAAAAAAGAAGAATCTGATCTTTGTAACTTAGACGAAAAAAAACCATGACTTATTCTTATCAATCAGCTGAGTTCTATACAGTTTTATCACAATAAATTTTCTAATATAAAATTTTAATGATTACGAAAAAAAATTTTTTTTTTTTGTTTTTCTCCTATGAAAAATCAAATCACAGTGAACAAATGTCATATATCTTTTTGAACAATAGCACACCAATTTCCATGATCATAATAAGATTTGATTATTTTTGATCCGACTATAAGTTTTGATGCTTCTTCAATAAGCATTTCAAGTTCACCATGTTTAAATACATGATAATAACGTTTATTATATGGATTTGTATTAATTTGTTCATCATCATCATATGAACTCATTGGAAATGGTCGTATACGAAATGCTAATCGATCATGATGAGATAATATTGGTGTGGACGGAGTTGATGATGTTTGTTTGACAAATCGTTGAAATAAATTTTGTATTGATTCAATCATTGAAAATTTTGTTGTTTGACTATTAGCTTGTTCAATACGACGTAAAAGATTTTCTCTCATATTAAGTGATGATGACCAAGAATTTTTATCAAGTATTATATCTAATACAATAAATTTAAAAAATAATCATACGAAAATAATCATACCTGAACGTGTTTGATGATCAATACATGGAACTAGAACATCTTGACTACAAAACTAAAAATAAATTTAACATTTTTATTTTTTTTTTTATTCTCTTTCTATAAATTTACTTTTCGTTGTTTCTGTTCCATTGCCCATGTATAAATTAATAATTGACCACCGTTAGGTTTTAAAATACGAAGACATTCTAAAAGATTTTATTAATAAAAAACAAAAACAAAAGAATAATCTCATTAAATAAATAAAATTAAACCTTGAATAGCTTTGACACGTCGTTGATGTGTAGCTAAATGATGTATAACACCAATTGAAAGTACGGCATCAAATAAATTATCTCGATATGGTAAATGAAGATTGTCAGCTATAATAATTGGTATATGAGAATATCTATCTCGAACTATTTCACATAATTGATTACTACGATCACAACCAATAGTAAATAAATCTGATTTAAGTTTAACATATTTTCCAGTTCCACAACCTTATTTATTCAAATCCGATATTAAAAAAAAAATAAAGAAATGATTATTTTTAACATACCAACATCAGCTACTAAAGCATTTTTAGTTTGTGATGATATTCGATTAAGAAATCTTCGAACATTAGGCCATGCTGTTGTATCTTGTGTTAATGTTGTTGATTTGAGTCGATTATAAACATCATGTCTAAATAAAATCAGAAAATACAAATTTAGAAAGATATTAAAGAAAAAAATAAAACAAATATTATTTACACATAAATTTGTTCTAAAACGTCGGGTTGTGACTTATTTTGGTCGTTCATGCTTGTTATTATTGGTCTATGAAGAGGAATGAATAAATTTCATCTAGTTGACAGAATAATTATGTAATAAACAGCCAGAAGGCGACTTAGTTGATGTGTGTCAAGATATAGATGAAAAAAGAACACAAAGAAGAAATGTTTGAATGAGAAAAAAAACATGAGCATCAGAAACCCATCTGTCGAGCGATGAATCTGTTTTATGCCTTAACATTTAAACTAGATATGTCAGAAACATGATAGAATAGAAAAACATTATCAAACTATATATTATCAAC